ACATTGTCATAATAGCCAGAAACTGAGTTCAAATTAAATGACTTAACTCAGCCTACACATTATGGTGAATAATAAAGATATCTGAAATGTACATCTAAACCTTGGATTTATTAAATGGCTTTGAATTATAATAATTATTAAAGTCATCATAAAATCAAAATTGACTTCTTTTTTTTTTACTGGATTGTTGCAGTGATTTATCCATTCATGTCTTTTTTTTTTCAATCATGAGAACACATTTAGTTTGCAATGCCCATTTTTTTATTATCCAGGCAATCCCGATGGACAAAATCAAATGTTGCTTTACATTTTTAAAAATCGTTTGATAAGCCATTTCACTCAAATATACATTACAATAGGGAAGAAATCTATTGCAATTTCTATTTAATGCTGACTTTAAATTAAATAATAAAAACATAAATAAAAAATGTTGAGATTTAGTGACATCTGTAGTCAAGAGGAAAATTAAAGATGAGGGAGACTCCGTACCCAGTCTTGCCCTACATTTGCTTCTTTGGCTTTTATGTTTGTTTGTTTGTTTGACTCTGCTGTTTATATTGAATAATATCTAAGTCGAGTTTATTTTGTGCATACATTTTTTTTGCAGATTAATATTTACATTGTTTTTATTTAAAATTTATAGCACCAAAGACAGTTATCCTTACCCAGCACAGCTTTCAAACCCCCGTCTAAGAAAGGTTTCTTTAAGGACGAGACCGACAGCCTTAAAAAGATGCTACGAGTGAAGCGTCTCAGTCGCTGGATGGGCTCTCCTGACTCCCCCGCTGCCACCACTCGAGGGTTCTACGAGTCCTGGCAACAACGTCCTCTGGACTATCACGGCCTCCTGCTCCCCTGTCTGGACGGGCCGGCTGTCCGCGTCTGGATGCAGCGATACCTGCGTTGGATACCTGAGGTGCACATCATGGGCGGAGGCTCTGTGGCCGTCATGACCAAGCTTATGGAACTTCTAAGTCAGGTGCAGGATCTGAAGTGTGTGCTGGAGCAAAGAGACTCCTCACAAGCTGTTAAACTTGATCACCGTCCATACATTCAGCACCGGCTGCTGTCGTTCGGCTCCTCGGGACGATTGTCATCCTCATTCCCCTTCGCTTACAGCCGCAACCGATCTTTCAAGCCCATCATTCCTACAGGTCTGATGCAAAGCCTTATGGTAAGTGACAGCCTAGCCAGTCAGGAAGATGAGGCCAGTTCGTTTGTGAGTTTGGTTTAACAGAGAGCCTTTTTTTCACCCATATGTTGATATCTGTATATTATATGGATATTATTAAATTATAATACAGGATTATAGTGGCCTTGTCAGATTCAAATTAGGTGTTGAAAGTGCCTTTGGTGCTAAAGCGGGTCCTTTTGGAAAGTAAAACAGGTTTTTGTCAAACCACATGTGCCCTACTGTATCGAAAACGAAATATGAGCCTTCAGACAGGATGTAAGCTCTTTTATTTTCGATGTTCTTAATGGAACAATACCTGGAATTGCTCTCTTGCTCATCACGAAAGAGGAACAGGATATAGCCCTGAGCTTCCAGCCTTTCCACAGTGCAGTGTTACATAAAATCATCACCAAGTAACATTCCATACAGTATTCCATTCCAGTGGTCTATGGATATATGAGCTTATCCTGAATAATAGCAACCATTATAAAGAGTTATAAATACATCTGACTTCCACACTTCTCTGACTCCTCACATAATATAGCTCCTGATGTACTCAGTGGTTTGTACACGCACGCCTCTGCAGTGCTTGAAGCATGTTTTCAGCTTTCTCTGGCAGTGAAAAGTATGCAAAGAAGGTTAGCCAAGGAAAATAGCGTGGAGCTCTCTACAGGTATATTATTGTTACTGCTGCATTTAAAATGTATTTAGGATTAGACTGTACTTACTGTGGTCTGATGTGACTTAGCATTTCTTTTCCCCAGATGCCAAGTCAACCTTCGGGTATATAAATGTTTAATGTGTGAAAAAAAAAATTTGTCTAAGAAAACAGGAAGTATGGATCAATACATGAGATCAGCTGTCTCAGAGATTCAGTGCTCTGTTGTATAATGTACACTGTGGGGCTCTTAGATATATATAATGGAAAATCATAGTAAACTGCAAGCCTTTGCAAATATAATTATTTAAACATAAGCTAATGTAATTCTGTATCTGCATTTGTGCACATTTCCTTTGCAGTACTACTGCCACAAATCAACAGGCACTTCATTAAAAAAAAAAAAAATGTTGTTCAAATTGTATTTGAAATGTAATGAAGCTGATGTAAGCTGAAATCACTGAAGCACTGAGCTGTTATTTGCTGGCAAGTGTGTGGAGAAAGCAGTTTCCTGAGTATTTTGTTTTTGTTTGCACCCTTTCCGCTTATGTTTTGCACTATCCTGCCAGTCAATCACTGTTACTTGAACAGTCAGCTGTAAATCTGATTCTGTTCACTTCAGTTCAGTACTTCTCTTGTGTATAACAAGTGATTTCAAGCTGGATTTGAAACTTATTACTGTATAATTGTTTTGTATTTTTCTATAACTAACTTTTAATGTTCATAATATCAGAGTTTGGCCTTGAAATATATGAAATATGTCAGATTGCTTTATTTTCATGTAAAAGTAGCATTAAATACTTTTATATATGCATTTGAGAAATATGTCACTCTTTTTGTCCACAGAATATGATTGAAATAAAAGGCTAGATCAGTGCTTTACAATCTTGTTCAATTCTTGTAAAAAGTAATCTTACAAGCAATCATTTGAGATGAAACAACTTTTAAAGGGAATAGTTCTGACATTTTTTTTTAATTCTTATATATATATTTTACTTCTATTTAGAGATTTGATAAGATATTTGATGTTATTTTTTGTCTGTTGATTCTCTTGAAAGTGCACATTTATAGAAAAACAAAGTAGACTAAAATGAAATGTACAGTACAACTTCACCTAAAAGTAATTAAATAAACATTTAATGAATAAATAAGTAATCTTTAAATAAATAATGAAATATTTATGGCACCGCCTAAAGTCTGTATCACAAAACTTAGTGTGGTACCCAGCTACTTTAGTATCACTGTGACATTCTTATAGTTAGTTAAAAATTTATTAAATAAAATTAATTATTAATTATAAATTTCTTATAGTTAATTAGTTAAAGGCACAATATGTAAGATTTTTTTTATTAAAATATCCAAAAACCACTAGAACAATCTTATATATTTTGCTGACTTGTGTACTTACATTTATCCCAAATGTTTCGAAGAATGTTTAAATCTAGAGAAATAAGCAATTTTAACTAGTGACACGGACCGTGTCCATAGTGTCATTGTGTCGCCTGCCAATGACGTCATAACCCCTAGATTTCCGTTTTGTAGAAAACATGGAAACGCCAAAGTGGATTTAATAGGCTGTGCATTTTAATAGACTGGTGACGACCGCACAGAATAGCATTATAACAGAACTTTCAAATGTATCTAGTATGATAAAACAGCGCTGCTTACTTCCACTGCTTTCCGGAAGGAGCGGCAGCGGTTGACTGTGGCATAATAAAAGCTCCGCTGCTTTCGAGCCGTATGTCGCGCTCGTTCGGCGGCCTCGTTTCGCTTCAACGGCTTCCAGCCTCACCCTGCTTCATTCTACTACGTTGATAAATCATTAGCTCATCCATGAACATGATTTCTGCCCGAGTCCCGTCGGATTGCTTCGGCTGTGGTGATGAAGACGACAACTCCCATGATTCCACACTCAGTCACAGCGTCTTTAAACTACGTCTTTGTCTTTTTGTTTATTTTGAATACGCGCCCTCTAGCGGCGAAACTTACATATTGTGCCTTTAAAACAAAGTTTTAAGTCTAATTAGTTAGAACAAAGTTCTTACTGATGGGGTCTGGATCTGCACAGTGTCTTGTTGTCTTCGGAGCATCTTTATCGTTTAGCTTCTGCACAGACCAGCGTTTGTCTCTCGTTATTTACGCTACATGTGTGAATCGGTGGGCGGGGCTAAACAGGCAGTGATGTAGAAGCAGGCGCTGTTACCAGATCGGGGTGTTATGATACCTGGGGCAAGTTCAAGCTCAAACCGGTGCGCAACGTTTTGCTACGGTTTCCGGTTTGAACCACGTTTCCTGGAAACGGTGTACTATGGGGTTTGAGATACGTTTTCTCTTGTTTGGTGGGTGTGTCAAAAATGTCAGCCCAATCAGCAGCAACATGTATTAAAGAGACAGCTGGCGCAATGTAATTAACATCAAAATAAATTCACAAGAGCAAGTCTATTGTTTGCACATGTTTATTTACATTAAAGGCCAAATAACTGAAATAATAAGGGCACAAGTATAGATCTGGAACTTCTTTAAGTCTGTCTAAATATCATTTAGTAATTGCAATGTCTTCTGGTCCATATCCTTTCCTTAGAAGTGTCCCCAACTAAGCAAGCCAGAGGCGACAGTGGCAAGGAACCGAAACTCCATCGGTGACAGAATGGAGAAAAAAACCTTGGGAGAAACCAGGCTCAGTCGGGGGGCCAGTTCTCCTCTGACCAGACGAAACCAGCAGTTCAATTCCAGGCTGCAGCAATGTCACATTGCACAATACATATTGTGGCTCCGAAAATTCTTCAAAAAGAACACAAAGAATGGCCTTCTCAGCTGCCATAGTTGCAACTCTTGCGTCATCAGAACAGGGTGTTCAACGCACCACCGTTTCTGTTTAAAAAACGTTTTGCACCATTTTTGTCGGGGCTGAACGCAGCCCAGGTTTCGAGATCCAACCTGTGTGTCTTTTTTTTTAATTACAGGGTTCCCATGGGTCCTTGAAATCCTTGAAAGTTTGTGAATCTGAAAAAAAAACATTTCAAGGCCCTGGAAAGTTTTTGAAAATAAGCATACATAGATACAGGTCCTTGAAAGTGCTTGAATTTATTTTGTGCAAGAAGTTTTCTGGAAAAAGGAATATTATTCCCTCCGGTCCGCTAATGTGTTATTTCGCCAACACTTCGTGGCCTATGCATATTAGGTTGCTTGATTTACGTTAGTTACCGCATTTACGCGTTACGTTAAGTGTTTCCCGCATGAGGTACTTTGTGTTGTACGTCGCCATGACGTTCACGCGTGCATGAATCTACTACAATGGTACCTCAACTTTTCACACACACACACACAGTTAAAAGGGTCATATGATGCTGCTAAAAAGAACATTATTTGGTGTAATGAAATGTGTTTATGCGGTTTAAGGTAAAAAAAAAAAAACATTATTTTCCACACACTGTACATTATTGTTTCTCCTCTATGCCCCGCCTTTCTGAAACGTGTTGATTTTTACAAAGCTCATCGTCTGAAAAAGCGAGGTGTGCTCTGATTGGCCAGCTAGTGATTGGCCGAATTCCTCAAGCGTGTGACGGAAATGTTACGTCCCTTACCATATTGTGATGCCTGCGGCAAGCACATGTGACGACCCCGGGCGGGACTCCACTTTTTCACGGTGAAAGCCGATCCGGCGATCGACAGTGCGAATTTGATGTGCGATATTTCCTCAGCGACCAGCACGGATCAGCTTGCTTGATTTACGTTAGTTACGTGCATTTACGCGTTACGTTAAGTGTGAGGTACTTTGTGTTGTACGTTGCCATGTCGTTCACACGCGCACGAATCTACTATGAAGGTACCTCAACATTTCTCTCACACACACACACACACCGTTAAACATTGCAAAAATAGGCTGAAACCGCTGAAACGTGATGCCTGGAAAATGAAAGTTTCAAGATATTTGGCTCACCAAAGAAGATTACAAAGAATGGCTTGCCAGAGATGAAAACTGTAACAATATTTTTCTTTCACCCTGTTTTAATGCGCATTTTGAAGTATGCGCATTAAAATGCGCAAAAAATGTTGCACAGCATCTGAAATGTTGTCATGGTCATTCTGAAGTGCCCGAGCAAAGTCTGTCGTCAAAGTATTTCTGTATAACTGTCTCCCAGAACGGTCTACCGTGACTGCGTTCCCAAACAGCTGACATTCACCTCCGAAAGCAAGACTGCATTTATTGTGCTTCGCCTGCTCACTCGAAGCGCAAGTAATTTATTATATCTGAGAATTTATTATATTCAGTGGCTTCTTCTACTTTTCTTAGTGATATTTAGTGCCAGTTTATCAGGAAGTGACGATTTTGTTCTCTCTGCACTCGATGAGTACTACTGCTGTAAATGCTTGTCAAAAGCCTTGGAACACTTTGAAAAAGAAAAAATGTATTGACAATTTGCTCAGGACCTGCTTGGGTGCCATGGAAGAGCTTTTGCAAGCTGCCATTATGATTTTCAAAAATAAAAGCACTCTGGCACCATAGTGGACCCCAGTTTCTTACAGACTGTGCAGCATGCTCTAGAATGTGCACACTGAAACTGACATGACATTTGCCATATAATCTCCCAAAACGGCTCACAACGTTTTTGAACAGAAATTCAGCTACATCTATGTCATGTGGAGAAATGCTATCCTTCAATAGACAGAAAGTTCCTTGTACAAGTAGCAGTAAGTGTTCAAGGAAGTGGCGTGGTAAAATGCCACTCAGGCATGGAAGACAATAAAACAACAGAAAATTCCTGTATTCTGAGGCGAATGCCTGCAGGATTTTTTTGTAAGGGTTGATCTCTCTGACTCGTTGGATGGAAACAGTGCTTGTTCGCAAATGTTTTATGCGATATTCCAATTTTGCACAAAGGTTAAATTCACAACTTTGGATGGAAACCATAGACTGACATGAAAAAAACATGGACGTAGTGTCCGTGACGTCACTCGTAGGTTTCAGAAGAGCATTTTTGAAGCCTAAAGTGGGCGGAGTGGGCCGCCACCATCTTGGCAGCGCGTCACCCCACGTCGCTCCCGTATAATCGAAAATGGGCAAAAAGGCGGGACGTGGGTGAAGCTGAGGTGGCTGGTTGCTGAAACCACGCCCATCTATAGTGACAGCAGTGCTGCCGTGTAAAGACAAAACACCATAACTTCATTTTTGGTCGAAATTAGTTATTGATAATTTTTGGACACATATGACCTCCTTTATCATGTGTATAAATATCTTGGAGAAAAGCCCCGGAGAAACCAAGGCAGAACACAGTATCATCAGTTACCTCTCTTTGACTTTGTTTTGGAATGCTCAAATGAAGTCAAGGTGCTCTGCATTTGTTTAGCCGTTCGTCAATATTACTGTGCCAGCCTGGAGTTATATGGTATTCTGCCTTTGTTTTATTGTACATTAAAGTCTGCCACGTACATACATCTGTCGGCAATTCTTTTTAGACAAATTAGATAGATCGCGATCTAACAAACTGATATAACAAAGCACTGTAAACAAGCAACGACTAGATAACTTGGCAACAATAATTAATCGTAAATAATCTTT